CACTCTCAGCCTCAGAGGATGGTAATGGCAACCCCCATTTGAGGAAACTTGCCAAGAAAACCTCATGATAAGGTTGCCTTAGGTTCGCCATAAGTCGGAAAGGACTTGAACACACAGAAGAACAACAAAAAAGTCTGCAATTGTTTCATAGTTAGTACATGGGAATAGGAGCCAGCATGGTGTAGTGGTTTGAGTGTTGGACTACCACTCTGGAGACCAGGGTTTGATTCCCCGCTCTGCCATGAAACCCACTGCATGAGCTTGAGCAAGTCACACTCTCTCAGCCACAGGGGAAGGCAATGACAAACCTCTTCTGAACCAATTTTGCCAGGAAAACCCCAGGATGGCCTTAGGGTTGCCATAAGTAGGCAATGACTTGAAGCCACAGCAGTAAAAACAACAAAGCCTCAAGAAAGAGCCAGTCTGGTATAATGGTCTGAACACTGGACTATCACCCTGGGGACCAGGGTTTGAATCCTCACTTGGCCACGGAAACCCACTGAGTGATCTTAGGCAAGTCACATTCTCTCAGCCTCAGAGGAAGACACTGACTGGCAAAACTACTTCTCAATAAATCTTGGCAAGAAAACCCTGTGGCAGACTTCCCTTAGGGTTGCCATAAGTCACAAACAACTTGAAGGCAATGATTGAAGGCACACAACAACAACAATAGCAGTAACACCGCTAACTGAACTCACTCCTCCGCCCTTGGCTGCCCATTCCAAAGGTGGCAGGAGCCCAAGGAGAACGAAGAGAAGGAGGAACTCCCTCCTGCCACTGTCTCACTATGGGGAGCTGGGCGTCCTCCCTTCTTTCCAGCCACCCAGAGCTGGACAGCTGACCCCGGAGCACCCCATGGCCAGAGGCCCCTTGCCCTCAAGTGGACCCTTGCCTTCCTCCTTCTTCGCCGGCTCCCTCCCTCCGTCCCAGCCATGTGGTATCGGGGCTGCTGCTGGATGGCTGGCCCTTGTGGCAGTGGGCAAGGTTCACCCTCCCGGCCTCCTCCTCCTTGTCCTCCTGCTCCTCGGTGAGGCAGTGGGAGAGTAGGTTCCAAGGAGAGAGCCCCGGAGGACAGACCCCATCCCGGCCCCAACAACCCCGGCCATGGGAGATTCCTCCTCTTCCCCCTCATCGCCCCCTTCTCTTCCTCGCTCCTCCTCCTCTCGCCTGGCCTTCCTTTCTTCCTTCTCCTCCTGCCACACCACACCACCCCTCCTCCTTCTCCTCTTGCTGGCTCTTTCCCGCAGGCCACCAGAAATGCTTTGTCACCAGTGGCCCGCAGGCCATATGTTGTGCAGGCCTGATCTGGAGGATATATGATTCCCACCTCTGGCACAGTGGAATGACTTCCATGATGACATGCATATGTGCTCACTCAAACGTGACAAACTTTCTCTGGAGAGGAGCCATTGACTGGATAACACACTACAGAAAATTGAAAAGATCATTAGGAGTAAAATGGAACCTTAACACATTTGAGCCACAAATTGGATATGAAGTTTGTAAAAAGAGGACATACACCATTCACAAGGAATTCTTCAGTAATGTCATCTTCTAAGAGGCGTTCAACAACCTTCAAGGCTTTTCGTTCATACTCAATCTTCTTTCTAATAGCAGCTTCAAGTGTTGCTTTCCTGTAAGAGAACAAACGTTTAGTGGTATGGTCCATATTTTGGCAACTCATATGAAGTTGCTTAAAAAACAGATGAGTAAACACAGTGTAAAACATTTGCTGCCTGAAGTGAAGGACAAAATGAAACCTACTCTTCATTTCAAAAACATGTGCCAGTTGGACTGGCAGACCAGTGGCTCCAAAACTTTGGTCCTCCAGGTGTTTGAGACTTCAGCTCCCAGAATTCCTAACTGTTGGACAAGCTGACTAGGGCTTCTGGGAGATAAAGTCCCAAAAAAACCTGGACAACCAACGTTTGGGAATCACTGTACTAGACTGATTTACAGAGGCCAGAATAGGCTGTATGACAGGCCCTTGTGTCCTCAAACAGAAAAGAAGATCTGAAAGTTTTATGAGAAACAACTGAGAGGCTCCTCAGCTGCCATAAACTATCTGCCATCTGAAGCAACTGCCTGATTTTGTTGAATGGTAGGGCTGCCCTAAAAGATTTTGGCTCCTTACCTAATTTCAGTAATGTATTTTACTGTGGTCTCCTTTCCATGTATTACATAAAATGCTCCCATTTCTATTATATCCATTAAGAGTTAGAATTAGAGTTAGAGTAGCATTTATAGCCTCCCCCCCCCCTTCTCGCTCACCCCAGTTTGGGATTTAAGGTAGTTTGTAACAGTTGAAAAAAACATAGTTAAAAATTTACAGCATAAGAAATTTTAATAATAAAATATAAAAAATTAAAACATAAACTGTTTAAAAACACATAAAAAGTGCAGCACATAAAGGCCGGCTTCCCCTTTAAAAATCAGTTCTCAATGACCTGTTGGATTACAAAGGTTTTTTATTTGTTTGAGTAAAGACAGTAAAGGGGGGGGTGTCCTTCAGTGGGAAGGACTTCCAAAACTTGGGAAAGACAACCAAGAAAGCCCTCATCCATTTTCCCACCAAATGTGGGAAAGTGGTGGGACAGAAAGAAAGGCCTCTCCAGAAGATCTTAAAATATGGACAGGTTCATATGGGAGAATGCAGACCTTCAGAGAGCCAGCATGGTGTAGTGGTTTGAGCATTAGATTATGACTCTGGAGACCAGGGTTTGAATCCTGGGTTGACTATGTAAACTCACTTTCTGATCTTGAGCAAGTCACACTCTCTCTGCCTCAGAGGATGGCAATGGCAAACCCCCACTGAAGAAACTTGCCAAGAAAAGCCTATGATAGGTTTGCCTTAGGGTCACCATAAATGAGAAACAATTTGAAGACAGACAACAACAACAACAACAGTCCTTCAAACAACCTGGACCTGAACAGTATAGTGGTGTGTGCATTTTGAGAACCTGTGTGCACATATATGAAGTACTTGGACTTGTTTGGAGGGAAAAATACAGTTAAAAACAAAGAACCACAAATGTGCTTCCCAGTTTGACATTGGTAACAACACCTTTTTAATCCTGTGAGATCTCAGTGCAACATAAGGGGAAATCTCTTCTCTCTAGATTCTTCTTTCCTTCTCCCTTGATCTGGGAGCTACAGTACAGAATTCCCCAACCAGCATGGCTGTGTCATGCTCACTGGTTACTTTTTCACAGATTAATTTTTCTAAGCTTCTCCGGTGTCTAGAACAGTTGTTCCCAAACTTTGGCCCTCCAGATATTTTGGACTTTAGTTCCCAGAAGCCCCAGTCTGCTTGGCCAACAGTCAGGAATTCTGGGAGCTGAAGTCCCAAACATCTGGAGGACTCAAGTTTGAGAGAACTACTGATCTTGAAGAAGTATGCATTTTTCCTTACACTGTTGACTTCAGGGATACTCAAAAAAAATTAACAGCACACACCTTTAGCCTTAGTCCCCTAGCTCAGAATCTGAGGGAAGAACAAAAGCCTGTCCACACAGGTAATACCTGAGCTCACACCAAAAAAACATTATCTCTTTGGTGGTGTGTGTGGTGGTGGTGGGGAAATAGCTGATCAAAGAAATTTCAACCTACAATCCTATGCATGTTCACTTAGGTCAGTGGTTCTCAACCTTTCTAATGCCGTGATCCTGCAGTACAGTTCCTCATGTTGTGGTGACCCCAAACCAAAAAAATATTTTGGTGGCTACTTCAAAACTGTAATTTTGCTACAGTT